GAGTTTAGTTTCTGTCGGGGAGCATGGAGGATGCAGCCTCAGCAACAGGCTGGGGGGTTTAGAAGCCGAGACCTCCCCCCCCATCTCAAGGGAGCTGAGGCATCCTAGGCCTGCCCTGTAACCTGATGACATCTGTGCTGGGCTGTATCCTGGAGAAGCAATAAACCCCCTCCATTCTACTGGCTGGCGGAGTCTGTTTGTGCCATTTCGGGGGTGCAGGAGACGGGGGACCCCAACGCGCCGTCACAGAGGGGAACAGGGGATGGGAGGCAGCAGCCAGCCCTCGCCGTGGGGGATGCAGTGTCTGGCCCCAGGGCTAGCTCCCTGAAGCTCGACCGGCCCCGAGCAGCTGGGGAGAGAGGGAGAGGCTATTACACCGCAGAGCCATGGAGTATATAACCCAGCCAGGCCCTGCTCACAGCTGGCCACATCTGTCCAGCCCAGGACTGTTCCCCTGGCCAGGAAGAAAACAGTGAAAAATCCCTTGGAACAGGAATGAGGGAACCCAAGCCAGCTCCAGAGCCGCCGTCTCACCCGTTTAGCCAGGGCCATTTCCAGCTGCTCCTGGTCCCGCGCGGCTCTGCGGGGCCCCTCCCCGCGCTGTCTGGGACGCAGCCCCGGCCTCGGCCCGCAGCCCGTGCTGCAGCGCAGTGCCCCTCAGGAAGCGGCGCGGGCAGAGCCCCCGGCCAGACGTGGCCAAGTGAGGCACTGCACTCCCTGCCCGGGGGGCTGCTGCTGCAGTCACGGGTCAGAAAGCCGGAGGCGACGGAGCACGGGGCGGGGGGGCTGCAGACGCGCCTTGGGTGCCGAGGCAGATCCTGAGCTGGCGAGGGGCGCGCTAGCTGACACCGGGGGGGCCAGGAGTGCTGGTGAGCAGTCACACCCATCCCCAGAGCAGGCCTGGCAGCTTCTCCTGACAACAGAACGGCCCCGGGCGCCAGGTGCACATTGCAGCAGGCTCTGCACAGACACGGGGAGACGGCCCCGGCCCCACGGCGCTTATGCTGTAAGCAAGCCAGACAGGCCGGAAGGAAGGATTACCATAGCGGGACCAGGCCTAGAGAGATTCCCGAGTCACACAGCCAGCGCTGCAGGCCAGGGCTATATGCACACGAGCACCTTCCCTCTGTGGGCGAGCCGGGGCCCAGTCACACTGTGGGGACGAGCGGTTCCCAGCTGAGCAGAGCGAGACGGGGTGGAGATGGCACGTGGCTGTCTTGCCCAAAGTGATCTGGGAAGAGCTGGGTCTCATGGCCCAGAAATGACAATGGTGACGCAACCAGCTCAGCTCTCTGGAGAAAAACCCTTCCAGCCGGTGTCAAAGAGACCGCAGCGCCAGGGTGCTTAGTGCAAAAGCAATGGAAGGAACAACAGTAACCATGGTTATTGGGCGTCTCACACCCCAAAGATCACACGACACTTCAAACAGGAACTAGGAATCCAGCACCACGGAAATGCAGCCACCTCTGGGGTGATGCAGCGGCTGGCTAAGTAACACTGAACAACAGCTTGGGATAGGGAGTGAAGAACAGTGGATCCAGGCGAAACACTGAGTGACAGCAGGTGCCGACCCAGGGCTGAATTTGGCCAGAACACGGGTGTGACGTAGTGGGGGTACCTGGCTGGTTTCTAGGTTGCTGGCTCTGGGGTAACCCCCGCTGGCTGCCGTGGGTACCGCGGCCCAGAAGGACAGGCCATGAGTCAGTGTGCTAAGAAGGTCTCTCAACCTGTCTGACCAGCCACCCCCCAGGGAGAGAGACAAAGGAAGGTGGATGCTGCCCTGGCCGGGGGCAGGGCTGGAGGAGAGTTTGGTTAGTTTTGGTCTGGGAGGATGGAGGAAGCAGCCTCAGCAACAGGCTGGGGGTTTAGAAGCCGAGACCCCCCCCCATCTCAAGGGGGGCTGAGGCATCCTAGGCCTGCCCTGTAACCTGATGACATCTGTGCTGTGCTGTATGCTGGAGAAGCAATAAACCACCTCCATTCTACTGGCTGGGGGAGTCTGTTCGTGCCATTTCGGGGGTGCAGGAGGCGGGGGACCCCAACGCGCCGTCACACACGGGAATTCACACAGCGAGGGCCGGACATTCAGACCAGCAGGCACCCTGGCACGTCTGGCGAGTGGGCAGTACTGCCCAGTGGAACGGCAGCAAAGCCCCCTCCGCCTGGCAGGGACACTGCTCTGTTCTGACAACCCCCAGAACTGCCCCCTTTGGGGCCTGGCCCGGCCCGGTGCAGGAGCTCCATGGGGTGGGACCCACAGCCGGGGG